AATTCATTCATTTGAGGGGAATCGTATTCGTATGTATAATGCCATTGCCAGTTGAGGTTTCAAATTTATCGATAAATAAATTTTAATTCGTTATAAAATTTTGATTGTTTTAATAGGCGTATTATTGTCTGAACGACTTCTTTAATGACAAGACCGCCTGGCAGTAATAGGAATTGCTCCTTAGGTTCATAAATTCACAACAATGTATTAGTTTATAAGACATGTTAAAAAAGGACTGAGTTTTATTGGTGTTCTTCTCGGTTATGTTGAACACTCACACTTGTTTTGAACACTCTGTAAAATCACGACAAACCGACGGACAAGCACTTTTAAAATTAACATTTTAAAGAGAATAAAGTATATTTTATTTTATTCTAAATCAAATTTACTCTGCGCCTGCGCATATCTTACACCCACTGAAAGTTCGTTGACAAATTTGTTATAGCAAATATTAGTTACCTTGAGCCTTCTTTCAACTATTACGTCATGTAAGGCATATGTTTGTATTATTGGTTTTCCCAAACATAATTATTTAATGTATACCATTTTACCATTACATTTCCGCTCCACTTGGCAGCATGGGAGTTTTGGATTTATTCCAGCCGCTCCAAATATCCGCGGCCTAGTGTCCTTAATCGTTTATTGATCGCTTTCTCCTTTACATATCTAAATAGCTATAAGTGGACATTGTACTAACACCCTTTAGTAAATCGCATTTTATAATATTTATCTAAGAATATCTAAATGTTTATCTATTAATAATAAAGTTACTGAACTATCGCATCGAGTAATTTATGTTCTTTAGTCAAATCAAAGTCAAGTCAAATTTAATTGTTCGGTTTTACGGCTACATAAATTAATACTGTTTTCTTTTTATCTTTCAACCCTCACTAGATCAGCGTACGTCTATGTTCTTTGAATTCTCTTATGCGAGATCTGTGTCAAATAGTATAAGTAACTAGCTGTGTCAGCGACTTCGTCCGCGCAGAAGACTAGTTTTTAAAGATTTTGAGCAGTATAGATTTCACCTTATATGAAACAATAAATCAATAATAGGCGTAATTCTAAACGATTACATTCTATACACCCCTATTGTAACCTTATCGTCCTGTAAACAGGGACAGTAATGACTGTTGAATGCTGCATACAATTTCCGTACTTCGGTTTGTAGATTCAATAGCGAATGGATTTTCGATGACGCACGAGTTCTTCCTTCTATGTTAGTATGTTATACGTAGAAGGTTTTTATGTAAAACGTATTAACGATAGTAAACTCAACGATGTGTAAGGCACTTTTAAGGGCTTTTAAAAATTGAACTATGTTCATTAACATAAAATATAATCAAAAGTTAATTTAAATGATAAATTATTATTTTTTAAATAAAGGGATTAAAAAAAAATTGGCAGTTTTTTGCAATTTAAATTATATATACAGAGATATTTTGCATTACAGTTTTTAGTCGTAAGTTTTGTCTGTTGTTCGCGAGTGTAATACACATTTTAACGGCTTAAAACATTAAATGTATTATTTATTTACTAGTTTAATTTGTATGTACCCCGGTTGTGCTGTTGGCAGCTGATATTTGTACGGTGATTATTATTGGTTTCCGGGTAGTTTTGTTAATTCGAAGAAATCCACTATGATTCATCAGTGACGCTCCGATCTCGTTACTGTATAATTAGAAATGACGCTGCGGCTTATCAGACGCGTTGCTATTGAAAACAAACTGTAATTGTAAGTTAAATAAATGTGCGTGTGCGCCGATGTATATTTCTTTATCGCAGAGGACAGGCAGCCGTAAGGATCGTTTAATGCAACCTATAAGCTCCATTCTTGTAATCACTAATTTATATGCGTTGTTGGCCTATTTTCGCTTTAGCTGATCTTGTAAGAATAAATTCGTAAAACAACTTACGAATTTATTCTTACAAGATCAGTTCGACAAGTTAGGCTTTTGAAAACTTTAATATTTTTTACATGAAGGCTAGGAAGGATATAATTTTAAAATCGAAAATAAATTGAAAAAGTTTTCGACTCGAGGAGGACTTGAACCGGCATCGTCAGCGTTTTGTGCTGTTGCTCTACCAATTGAGCTACCGAGTACTACACCTCATCGTCGAATTTTTTCAACTTATTGATACATGCACCTCTCGCGCAATCTAATTTTAATCTTAACACTTGCGTATTAAGGTTCAATGTCTTATGTTTTGCAGCTTAAGAAATCATTGAAGATGAAATTGTAAAGTTATAACGTTTGAAAACATTAATATTTTTCACATGTTATTGCACATGAAGGCACTATATAATTTAAAAATCGAAAATAAATTGAAAAAATTTTCGACTCGGGCAGGACTTGAACCGGCATCGTCAGCGTTCCGTGCTGTTGTTCTTACTATATTAACAATATTTACACCATAATAGTCTTTAGTTATATTTAAAGTTATAATAATGTACAAATTAGTGCCATTAAATCTGTAATATTAAACATCTTGCTATAAATTTTGAACACATATTAAAAAATTTCGCTTCATACAAAAGTATATAAAACATTTTTAGCGGTGTAAAATGCGACATATATCAGTTGGGATGCAGAAGCTGATATATTTGGCGTTTTAAACCGTTAAAATATTTGAATTTGTACTACTTAAACTACAGACGATACCTAAATAATTTAATTTTGTTGTATCTTTTTACTCTTAAGTTCAATTGATCAGTGAAACAGTAGTTTTTTACTACTTTTAATGTTTTATTAAATGCATTGATCTAAAGCCAAAATAGTTCGACAGCCATTAGATGCTATAGACTGGAGAATATCACCTATTCGCATTGAGTTGTACGCTAGAGAGAATCTTTGCGACAATGTGATTCATCTTGACTATGAGATAACACTGCTCGAAAGGTCTATAGGTGTTCGTTATACCTTTTTTCACAAATGACGTAACAAGTCCTTCTCTAGATAACTTTGCTCAGTTTAAAGTCTAATAGATAAAGGAAATACTCGACATTCTTACATCATCAATAAATAAATCATTTATGATAGCAATTATTAAATTGTTTTGTTAGTGTGCAATATATAAGTTATCGTGTTGATGGAAAATGAAATATCCCAGACATAACACCAACACAATATGGCGACCTATTTTTTACTTTTGACATTCATACTGAAAACGACACTTAACGTCTTTCTTACCTATAAGCACCCACGAAAAACTATAGTTTTTAAATTAAATTTTTTGCATGTTGATATCGGAATTTTTGGCAATAATAAAATTGAGTAATTTGAATAAAACACTTTAACGGTTTAAAACGCGATATATATTAGTTTAACTTATTTGAAAATTATCTCCCGGTGACCACGGCTGCTGCAAAGCATCCGAAACGTCGAGCGTAGTTAAAATAAATAGTAGATTAACTAATATATTTCGCGTTTTAAACCGTAAGTGTTTTGATTCAAAATTAGTTACATGATTACATAACGTATCATCCTATATTTTCCTTTTTTTGAACTAATTGTCGGGGGTTCTTATCCGCCAGGTATATGTTAACAAAGCAAAAATGATCTTTATTGTTTTTGTGAAGATAAAATGTTATCTCGTAGAAATATTTGATTCTCGGATGTTAAACTGCAGATAAGCGATCGCTGACGTTGAGATTGTGTGAGTTTGGAACCGATAACGATATATGAACCAAGGCAAGTCTCGCACAAAGGGTTCTGTACCTTTGAGTAGGAACACACATTTTTATTGAGTAGCCCTTTGTTAGTTACGTCATTCTTGCCTAATCTATCCATTGATATTGAAAGAAAAAACGGTATTTGTGCCTTACTAATAAAATTCCTTGTTGCCCTTTTAGCATGGAACCCTAACAATACATCTTATCTAGGTAAATACATTAAAATTCCGGATCAAACTTTAAAGATCTTTCACTCTTCGATAACATATCGAGTCAAATGCGATAAGATTGTATTAATAGATACGTCACGCCGAATAAGTAATAACTTGGACATGCGCGCGGGGGGGGGGGGGGGCACAATTCATGTAATTGTGTAAGACGTTTATTATATTAGCAAATGTAGATATTTAAATAAAACACTTTATCGGTTTAAAACGCGATATATTTTAGTTTAGAAAATTTCATCCATCGTTAGTCTAACCGTGACCTCTGCAAAGCATCCGAAGCGTCGGGCCGTAGTTAAATAAGTTCAACTAATACATATCGCGTTTTAAAACGTACAAGTGTTTTATTCAATTGTGTATTACTCGCGTAAACTACAGACAGTATTTAGATTAGACTATTATTTACTTTTGGAGAATTGCCCTCTTGGACTGTGTTCTGCCGACGCTTCATAGTTGATTACATTCTGGCACTCAACTAAACAAAATATATTAGTTATAAAAGTGAAATCCCGTTTCCCCCTCGTGGGCCATGGGGCGAACACATATTTGTGTCCGTTTCACTAATCCGATCTTTAACAGGCTAGTAGTTGATAAGACTTCTTCTGTGCCCTTCTTCAATCTAAAATTTAATCTAAGACTTTTAATTTATATAATGCGCAAAATGATTAAGTTTTAAACATCTGCGATTTTCACCAGTTGCGTTTTTGTTGAGAATAGTTAACCAGATTGGTTTTATTTAAGTAAAGTCGTATAACTAGGTAGAGGTTTATCAGCTTTTACGAGTCTTAATGTTATCTTAAAATACAATCGATGCAGTATTTTTAGTTCGTTAAGTTAACCTCAATAGACAGACCTAATTATTCCCTTCCGGAAAAAGAAAACCACGAAATACTAAAGTATACTATGCTCGTAAAGATTTAAAAGAATGTGGGCCTCGGAACACCCACTAAAGTAATAACTTATAATCTAAGTAGAATTATTTGAAATTGGAATTGTAAAGAACTAGCTCGTAACGGGGCCGTTGTTTGTTTCGATGTTAACACTTGAAAAATATTCAAATTTAGAATGCTCGCGCCCTATAACACTGTGTAATCTTTCACTAGGTCTTTTGTGACATCGTGGTTCGTGACGGAGAAATGGTGTGCGTGGAGCTGGTGGCGCGGGGTCGTGGTGAAGCTACACAGGCCGTCATCTTTCTCGGCTCCATACGTTACGACGCTCTGACGAGAGTCTACGATGCTCGGGTGAGTTAATATTCGTAAGTACAGACAGCTAGTGTTTTACAGCTTAGTATATACCGTTTTTAGGTGCATTACTAAGTTAATAAGCCTTATTAAATAAATAAATAAATTAGGTATATTGTATACCCACAGTATTATAATAAAATTATTAGTCAAGTGCAAGCACAGTCTATATATATGTTTAAATATTTTTGTAACTTAGTGAAGATCATTCTTAAATATTAATGTTTAATAAAACTAAGTACATTAGTACTTAGACTTTTTTCGTTAGTGTGAGATGAAAAGTCCAAATAAATTTAAAATAAAATGAACAAATTTAAATCAATTTGCTTAGAAAATAGAGTTCAAATAATTGCTTACAACTCGTGTAAAGTTGATAATCTTATGTTTTATGTACTGTTATAACATTTTAAATGTATATCGGACTATCCAAAACCAAAGTAGGACGACAGCACATCTTGTGTAGATGGTATATAGCTGGGGTATTACAATTCTCATCAAGAGAACACCAAGCTTTTGTTCTCTATCTTAAAAAAAACTTGAAGTGGCCCCGTGGCCCAAAGGGGAAGAGCGTTTGTTATTTTTTTTTGTATGATTGGTTGTATTAATGTTTACTTTTTTACGATGTCGATGATGATATAAGTCATATTAGTTGTTACATCTTGTCGACCTTGCTTTGCACTCTATGTGCACGACAAAACCTTTATTGCGTTCTGTTAATGAAAAACACTTGCCAACACAAGTAACAGTTAATCTTTTGCTAAATCTTAGCGAGTCAAGGTTGTGCCTTTGCGCTGTAATTTGCGTTTTTTGTAGCCTTTTGTTCTTGTATCGCCGTTTGCGAGTGACTGAGCGTGACGCAAACGCTAACAACTCCGCTTTTAATCTCTAAATTCATACTATCTGTAATTGACGGGAGTAGTAAACATTCGAATAAGACACTTTAACGGTTTATAACGCGAAATATATAACTTACACATTTCCCGTGTCCGTTTGTCTTCCAGTGACCACGGCTACCTACTGCCAAACATCCGAAACGTCGGGCTGTAGTTAAAATATTTTTTTCTTTTCGATTTCACGTTTTAAACCGTTAAAGTGTTTTATTTAAACAATAAATTCATTTTATCTAAATGAAATGGAAATGTTTGAAAAATGAACCCTCTCGTACTCTTTGACCCGGCAGCTCAGTGGCTAGAGAAGGGTATACATGTGTCAGTGTCAGTGGGTCAAATTAGCACGCATATGCATCAACAAGTAATAACGGTTCAAATATTAAATTATTTTATCTATATCTAACTGATAAACCATTAATTACAGTGACTAGGATAACATCGACCAATTTTGTGATAATTTTCGCTAGCCTTAGTCATGTGACAGATTAATACTTGTAACGTTTGCCTTATCGTTAACGTTCGTCATAATAATAAAAAAAGGCTTAATTGTGTATAATGGCCCAAACGATATTAAATCTGTACATACTAATATTATAAATGCGACAGACAGGACAACCGAACAGATAGACAGAGTTAGTGTCTGTCTGTCTGTCCGGCTTTAACTCCGAAACTACTGAACTGATTAAAATGACATTTGGCACACAGATATTTTAGTGTTTGAGAAAGGACTTATGCTTTTTAATGCCAAAAAAGGGTTGATAGGGGTTGAAAAAGGTGATGAAAGTTTGTATGGAAATTCGTGGTTTTTGAAGCTAGAACAATGCAACTTTCTTCTTTTGCTTTTTGGGAATAGGAGTGGGAGTGGGAGTGAGAGTGAGAGAGGGAGTAAGTGTAGGAGTGACGTGAGGTGAGAGTGTTGCGGCAAAGTAGCACTTACAACATAGATTGGCTGCCTTAAATGCGCCCTTACATAAATTAATAAACAGCCTAAATAATTATCTATCGCAAGTCATTATTCCACGCGGACGAAGTTGCGGGCACAGCTAGTTGTGAATAAATACAACATCGTAAAACAATCAAGACAATCAATGATAAAATAAATTAATTTTAGCATATCTTAATGTAATAAATGGAATCGTGATATGTATTTTTATGTTTTTTTTCAATTTTAAAACTAGCTGTGTCAGCGACTTCGTCCGCGAGAATCGTTATTTTGGGCATACTAATGCGTTTTTGCAAACCCTTTCATCTTTATAAACTAAAGCGGCTACCCGCGACGGCGGTCGCGTCCCTTCTTGCAAGGACAAGCAATTTAAAGGATAAATAATATAGCTTCGCGGATTTTTTTTAGATCATTCAAAGAGGAATCATTCTTTCGTACATATTTTTTGGGTATTTCCAATGGTTTTTCCGATGTGTAAGCCCTGAATGATGAATGATTTTCCCCGTTTTCTTCGCTCCTATTTATCACATCGCGATGCTTTATAGCCTATAGCTTTCCTCGACAAATGGTTTAAGCAACGCAAAAATATTTTTTAAATTCGAAACAGTACTTTCTGTGTTTATCGCGTTCAAACAAACTCTTCAGCTTTATATGTTCGTAAGTAGATTTAGTGAAATCCCCTTTCCCCTTTGGGGCATAGGGCGAACACATTTCTGCGTCCGTTTCACTGATCGGTTTTATTTACAGGCAAGTAGTTGATCAGACTTCTGTGCCCTGCCCGACCGAAACAATTTACTGCTTCCCCGGGATCTGAACCCAGGACCTATCGCGCGTAACGTAATGCCAGGCAACACGTTTAACCATTTAGCGACAGAGGCGGTCCAGTATAGATTTCGTAGTTGTAAAATTAGGTTAGCCTCGTGGTCCAACGTGCGGTGACGTCATCCTAGCCCACGACTGGTTTACTACAGCCTCCGAGATTTGACTCAGCAAGCACCATTTACACACAGAACCGCGTGGGTGCAACCCCGCGCGACGCTGGGCGGCCATTACATTTTTCATTTTCATTCTTAGTATTTAGTTTCTTTGTCCGCAGTGCTCCAATTTCGAAAGTAATAATGCACTCATTAACACAAGTGCTAATGAGCAGCGGACTATTGTTCTATTTGCTTTAGGTATTGCAGTTTATGCCAAGTCATTACTAAGTATTTATTTTATTTATTAAATTAAGGACGAAATTTTATTACAATTACTGACATATGCAACTTAGCTTTGGATATGTAAAAAAATGTGCAAAACAATTACAGTCAGATACACATGAAAAGTTAAACAGAGTCAAAGTGAAGACTAAATTGTACAAAAAAAAAGAAAATTTTTCGAACAATAGCTTATTACTATAATATACAATTATATCATTCATTATATTGTGTACTTAAGGTTAAATTACAGCATAAATTAAACTGAGAGGGCTGAAGATAGCAAGGTACTAAGTTTGCTGGGTGAGTACAGGTGTAGATCAATTAAGTCACTATGCTCATTAACGACGTTTGAAAATTATTATTTCGACACGACGTTTAAGATGCTTTGCAGCAGCCGTTGTCAGAGGGAGACTAAAGATGGAGGATGTATCTGACGCCAAAGTAGAATTGCTACGCTAGCGCCATCTGTTCCGTCAAAGTTGCACCCCCAGTTAGTTTCGTTAAATACCAACCGTTTTAAACCGTTAAAGTGTTTTATTTAAATGGTTACTACTTGTGTCATCTACAGACAGTATTTGTAACAACATCTTGATAAAGGCGAGCTAGCACCAAATACATTTCTTCGTGGAGGAGTGCGAAGTGGGGTTTTGGGTTTGCGAGGATACTCTGATGGGACATAGAAACCTACTTGGCGTAATAACTGGGGGGCGTCGTTAAGTCAATATAAAACACTTCATTGTACAAATAAATCGAAATCAAGGAATTACTCAATTACATAAATAATAAGTGCAAAGGCGGCCTTGTCGATTTCGTCTAGGCAACCTTTGTTTACAGGAGATAGAAACCATCAAAGATTAAGTCATAATCATTGATTATCTATACTAATGTTATAAAGCTAAAGTGTTTGTTTAAACGCGCTAATCTCAGGAACAAATGGATTGAATTGAAATATTTGTCTTTGACAGACCATTTATCGAGAAAGGATTTTGGTGTATCATCACACTGCGACTAATAGCGAATAAACAAAATGATGGTATGTTCAACTCACGCCTCGTCTAACATGTTTTTATATTATTTAGTTGTTTTTTAGTCCCGGAACACGAATCACGATCACATGGAAGTTCTTGCATTTCCCAATGTCCGAAGATTAAATAAATCGACAGCGCAGTTGATGGAAAAAGGTGGTGTGAAATTTTTTGCTTTGAACTTTATTATTTAATTTGTATTAGCGAAACCGCGAAACGTCATCTAGTTCCGTATAATAGTGCTGAATGCAGCTTAAATCTAATCCCCTGTCTCTCAACGTTTATTTGATCTGTTGAGAATGACAAGCGGAGATGAGAACGCCGTGTATTGGCATTTGTTGTATGTATTCCGCATTTCAGCTTAGCTTTTGAAAATAAGAGCCATCTTATAGGGCTTAACCATCCGTGAATAAAGATAAATGTATTATGCAACGAATTATTTTAATTATTATTCAAATTTAAATGATTTATTCCACATCAATGTACACATGTAACATTATACAAGAATAGTAAACAATTGGCTTACAAATGACGCCAAGAAAAAAAAACACACATAATTACTTTGCTGTGCAAGTAATGTGTTTTTTAGCAATACAGCAGATCTTCCGAAGCCCCATTTAGAGTGACAGCCATAAATAATGAACCTAAACTTCATGAAGAGACAATTACAATTAAAAATCGACATTATTTGACTCTGGAGTCGGTAGCTCTGTTGGTTAGAGTATTGGTTGGAACGCTGAGGATGCCGGTTCAAGTCCCGCCCGAGTCGTATTTTTTTTGTATTTATAATCTATTTTTAATTAATATAGTGCCATAAAGTAAACTTCTTAAATAAAGTAAAGAACATTTAAATAAAACACTTTAACGCTTTACAACGCGATATATTAGTTAAACTTATTTGAAAATGATTTTTAACTTCGGCCCGACGTTTCCGATGCTTTGT